GTCCCCCGCCTTCCCCGCAGCACCCCCTCCCCCCACCCGGCCCTCCACCCTGGGGCTGCGCTCCCCTCCCCTCTCCTCCCTCTGGTCTCGTCACCCAGCCCACAGCCACAATCCTCCTCCCCCTCCAAAATCGGATCCAATCAGCTGTTTGCCAGCCCGGGGACTGCCGTGCTGTGATTGGCTGAACGTCTCTAAGGTGAGGGGCAGTATTTATTAAAGAGACCCGGTGCTGGGAGTTGGAGAGCCGAGAGCCGAGCTCGGAACTGACTGCAAACTTCAGTGTCGCGGCGACTCACCAGTTTCACCCCGGGAACTTTCCTTGGCAGGAGGAGAAGCGAAGGGGTGCAAGTGCCCCACTTTTGCTTTCTTCTCTTCTCTTCCTCTCCAATTCGTCTTCCCCATTTGGAGCGGGCAGCTGCGGACCCGCCACCCATTGCCTAGCTAAGTGCTCGCTGCTGCAGCCAGGTGACGCGCCAACTTCTTGGGAGCCGCTTGCTCCTTGTCCGCGTCCGGGCAGCCGAGGGGAGAGGAGCCCGCGCGAGTCCCCGAGCCGCCGCGGCTTCTCGCCTTTCCCGGCCTCCCGCCCCCTGCCCCGGGCCTGCGTATGAATCTCCTGGACCCCTTCATGAAGATGACCGACGAGCAGGAGAAGGGCCTGTCCGGCGCTCCCAGCCCCACCATGTCCGAGGACTCGGCTGGCTCGCCCTGCCCATCAGGCTCCGGCTCCGACACCGAGAACACGCGGCCCCAGGAAAACACATTCCCCAAGGGCGAGCCGGACCTTAAGAAGGAAAGCGAAGAGGACAAGTTCCCTGTGTGCATCCGCGAGGCGGTCAGCCAGGTGCTCAAGGGCTACGACTGGACCCTGGTGCCCATGCCGGTACGCGTCAACGGCTCCAGCAAGAACAAACCGCACGTCAAGCGGCCCATGAACGCCTTTATGGTGTGGGCGCAGGCGGCGCGCAGGAAGCTGGCCGACCAGTACCCGCACCTGCACAACGCGGAGCTCAGCAAGACGCTGGGCAAGCTCTGGAGGTAGGGCCCTGCGGACCCCGGTGGGATGGGGTGGGCTCCGCTGCAGCTGGGGGTGCTGGCCTGGGCTGAAGGTCCTTGCCCCGCCCCCCACGGCAGGGAGTTGCCGTTCCCGAAGCCAGCGCGCGCGGAGGAAGGGGGGTGGTTACTTTGGCTCTAAATTGGACCAAGTTCTTGAGATTCGAGGGGAGACAGCTGAGGACAGGCTTTTAGAGGACAGGAGGAGGGCAATGCCAGCTAGTCGCCTTGGAGTTAAATGGTGGTGGGGGGTTGCCTCACCCTCCCGGGAACTGCACCCTTTCGTGCAGCCGACACTCCAGGAGATGGGGGAGAGGGGGGGCTGAGGCTAGAAGAGACCCCTGGCAGGAATGGGGGAAGGAGGGAGGTTGCTGGGAATGGGGATTGGGAGTTGGGGAAAACTTCTCCAGCTTAAGTAATTTTCCGGAAAGTTCTTTTTTTTGGGGGGGGGCGCATAACTCCCGTAGCAAAGATTTCAGAGCGACAGCAGTGGGGAGCTGCTTTCCTCTCCGGGGTTTCCAAAATAGAAGGAGAGGGGGTGGGGCGCGAGGAGTGACCTCTCAGGTCGGACTACAAGAACTCAAAATTTTCTTTGCTTTTACTTTTACTTAAAAAAAAAAAAGTTGCGGGCTATAACATTGACTGGAAGACAGGGACAGGAGGATGTGTACGAAGGTGGCGGGGTGGTGGGGGCCTGACACCTTGCTGAGTTCACTGACTTCCCCCTCTTTTTATCTGCGCTCCCCCCCCCCAGACTGCTCAACGAGAGCGAGAAGCGGCCCTTCGTGGAGGAAGCAGAGCGGCTACGCGTGCAACACAAGAAGGACCACCCGGACTACAAGTACCAGCCACGGCGGAGGAAGTCGGTGAAAAATGGGCAGGCCGAGGCCGAGGAGGCCACCGAGCAGACGCACATTTCTCCCAACGCCATCTTCAAGGCGCTGCAGGCCGACTCACCGCACTCCTCCTCGGGCATGAGCGAAGTGCATTCCCCTGGTGAGCACTCGGGTGAGTCCCACCCCGGCTCCAGGCCAAGCCACCCGCAGCCCCGCCACTGGGCACATACCCAGCCGCACCACCCACCCTCCTAGGAGGTTCTATTGGGGGAATTTGTGCTCCCCAGACGGGAAGCCCTAACCTTTGCACCTATCCCGTTCCCCATGCTGCCCAGGGTCCCAGCACACACATGCACACATACACACGTGCGCACCAGCTTAGTCCCGGCATCCTAAGAGTAATTTTTTTTATTGCTAAGTAAAATGCCTTTACAACTTTACGAACTTACCCTCTTCGTTTCTTTGCTCCCCACCCCAAAAGCACACACAGCCGCTCTTCTACAAGTAGCAATTTGGTCTTCCGTACCCTTGGGGCCTCAGACCTTCCCCTGATAAAAGGAGGCTGCTAAGTGTGTACCCGCAGGTTAATCATTTGGCGACTTATCTTTGGTGCAGCGCCCTCCCCGCTCCTGCGCGGGTCCTTATTACACCTTAGCAACAAGGGAGGGTCCCAGGAAGGTTCGTAAGACTAAGGCCTCTGCACAGCCCTCGTTGACTTTCCCCTTCTTTTTCTTTTATTTCCTGCAGGTCAATCCCAGGGCCCACCGACTCCACCCACCACCCCCAAAACCGACGTGCAGCCGGGCAAGGCTGACCTGAAGCGAGAGGGGCGCCCCCTGCCAGAGGGAGGCAGACAGCCCCCCATCGACTTCCGTGATGTGGACATCGGCGAGCTGAGTAGCGACGTCATCTCCAACATTGAGACCTTCGATGTCAATGAATTTGACCAGTACCTGCCGCCCAATGGCCACCCGGGGGTGCCGGCCACGCATGGCCAGGTCACCTACACCGGCAGCTATGGTATCAGCAGCACCGCAGCGACATCCGCCGGCGCCGGCCACGGGTGGATGTCCAAGCAGCAGGCACCACCGCCGCCCCCGCAGCAGCCCCCGCAGGCCCCTCAAGCCCCCCAGGCACCCCCGCAGCAGCAGGCGGCGCCCCCACCGCAGCAGGCAGCGCCCCCACAGCAGCAGCAGGCTCATACGCTGACCACGCTGAGCAGCGAGCCTGGGCAGTCCCAGAGAACCCACATCAAGACGGAGCAGCTGAGCCCCAGCCATTACAGCGAGCAGCAGCAGCACTCGCCGCAGCAGATTGCTTACAGCCCTTTCAACCTCCCTCACTACAGCCCCTCCTACCCGCCCATCACCCGCTCGCAGTACGACTACACCGACCACCAGAACTCGGGCTCCTACTACAGCCACGCAGCGGGCCAGGGCTCTGGTCTCTACTCCACTTTCACCTACATGAACCCCGCCCAGCGCCCCATGTACACCCCCATTGCCGACACCTCGGGGGTCCCGTCCATCCCGCAGACCCACAGCCCTCAGCACTGGGAACAACCCGTCTACACACAGCTCACCAGACCATAAGGAGACCTTAAACAAAGGGCGATGATGGCCGAGATGATCATACAAATAATCCAAGAAATAAATAAGCAAGCAGAATTTCCTTTGGACATTTTTTTTTTCCTGTTCTCTTAAAGACACTTAAGCTAAAGGCAACTCGTACTCACATTCCAAGACAGAAATGTTACCTATCCAAACGCAGTACCAACTTGTTGTGAATCAGTGGCCAGGCCACTCTTGGCTAGATGGACCAGCAGCATTGAAGAGAAACCGGACTTAAACTTCCGAGCAAGTGTGGAGAATGACGGAGAGTCCTGCGTGCGACCAGTTTGCTCAATTCTCCCTGCCAGTTTGGACTTTGTAATTATTTTTTAGCAGTAATTAAAGAAAAAAAAAGTCCTCTGTGAGGAATATTCTCTATTTTAAATATTTTTAGTATGTACTGTGTATGATTCATTACCATTTTGAGGGGATTTATACATATTTTTAGATAAAAAATTAAATGCTCTTATTTTTCCAACAGCTAAACTACTCTTAGTTGAACAGTATGCCCTAGCTTTTCTTGCAACCAGAGTATTTTTGTACAGATTTGCATTCTCCTACAAAAAAAAGAAAAAAAAGATAGAAAAAAAAGTTTTAAAAAGTGTGTCATAATATTAACATAAAAAAGATAAGCAGAATTGTGTTATGTGATCAGTTTTGGGGGTAAGCTTTGCTTAATTCCTCAGGCTTTCCAATTCAAGGAGGAGCTGCCTTAAAGAAATAATGAAAGCCTTATTTTGCAAATAGAGTAAATAAATAGTCTAGGAAGCATTTGGTAAGCTTTATCCTATATATATATTTTAAACAAGAGGGAAACACCTTGAGCCTTAAAATCATGCTGCTGGCAATACTTGCGCTCTATTTAGCAGGTGTCCTCCTGCCTTTGCTTGTTCCCTGCAGTCTTAAGACAGAAGTGAAAGGTGAGCAAAGGAGAAGGGGTCTGTTTGGGGAATGTAACAGCAGCTAAGAAGTGCCCCAGTGCACTGCCCCCCTGGTTGCCTGCCTGGCCCATGTGGACCGCAGATGCTGGAGTCTGTTTGCTCAGACATCACCTGTGCCTCTCTGAACACCAGCAGTTAACCTTCAAGACATTCCACGTGCTAAAATTATTTATTTTGTAAGGAGAGGTTTTAATTAAGAAAAGAAAATCTTCCTCCTTTTTTTTTTTTAATTTTTATTTACTGTCTTTTAAAATAGGTTGTTGGAGCCTTCCTCAAAGGGTATGGTCATCTGTTGTTAAATTATGTTCTTAACTGTAACCAGTTTTTTTTTTATTTATCTCTTTAATCTTTTTTTATTATTAAAAGCAAGTTTCTTTGGATTTCTCATCCTAGATTTGTACAAATGCCTTTTTGTCCGTCCTGGTTTTTTTTTTTTTTTTTCTCTCTCTTTGTTGTTTTTGTTGAAAACAAACTGGAAACTTGTTTCTCTTTTGTACAAATGAGAGGTTGCAAATGTAGTGTATCACTGAGTCAT